ACCAACCAAAAAAAAAAAAAAAAAGAACAAATAATCAATAGAACATAGAGCTCTCTACATGTAAGCAGTAGCCGGTGAAACTTCTAAAAGTAGATACCAAACACTTATACCATTTCTTTAAAAAAAATTTATATCTATCTATCTATCTATCTATCTATCTATCTATCTATCTATCTATCTATCTATCTACCTACCTACCTACCTACCTACCTACCTACCTACCTACCTATCTGGCCTAGGTGCTCTCCCTGAGCTAGTGCTTTACCACTTAAGCCACACCTCCACTTCCAGATTTTTTGGTAGCTAATTGGAGATAGAGTCTCATGGATGTCCCTGCCCGGGCTGGCTTTGAACCGCAATCCTCAGATCTCAGCCTCCCAAGTAGCTAGGATTCCAAGCATGAGTCACTACTGGCACTTGGCTTTCTTGACATATTTTTCTTAAAATATTTTAAAGATGTAATTCTATGGATCAAGTTTTAAAGCCACAATGAACTATTTCTAAGTATGTATGTACATAGTTTAAATTTTACCTTTCTGTAGGAATCTTCTATCGTCGGGTCATATTTTTCAACGAAAATTCCCTGAACAAATTGAACTGTCTGGGAGGAAAATAAAACAAAACAAAAGAGAAAGAGAAAAGTTAAAGATTTGAAAGAAAAATCAAACCTGGAATGTTGCCTAACCACACAAAAGTTGTAAAGATTAAATAAAAATTATGTTAAAATTCTGGGTAAACACATGAAGTATCATTATTAATTTCTAACACAAATACACCTATAAGAATACTTATTACAAAAAGATTCTTATGTTTGAAAAACTGTCATCAATATGGCTGTTGCTATTACACTGTTAAATAATAATTATTATTTTAGCTCTCTATAGTAAGTTTAATCCTGGCTACCAAAAGAAGAAATCAAGGGGAATTGCAAGTGAGGCTCAAGTTGCAGAATGCCAGCCAATGAGCAAAAGATGAAGTAAAAGTTTAAAGTTTTCCATAGTTTCATGTACTTAGTCCACTATAATTCAGTAATATTAAATGGAAAACTCTAGAAATAAATAATTCCTAAGTTTTGGTTGTTTTTTTTTTTGTCGGTCATGGGGCCTGAACTTCTGGGGCCTGGGTGCTGTCCCTCAGCTCTTCAGTTCAAGGCTAGCACTCGACCACTTGAGCCACAGCACCACTTCCAGCTTTTTCTGCTTATGTGGTGCTGAGGAATTGCACCCAGGGCCTCATGCATGCGAGGCAAGCGCTCTACCACTGAGTCACCTTCCCAGCCCATAATTCATAAGTTTTACACTTACATTTCAAATACAATGATGAAAGCTCATGCCATCTGGCTCTTTTCCACACAGGACATGAATCATTCCTATGTCCTATGTATCCATGCTGTATATACTATCCCTAAGCTATTAATCATTTTGTAGCAACTATTGAAGTATTGTAGTGCTTGTATTCAAGCATTCCTTACTTTACTTAGTAAAACCAAAGTTTAAGGGTTGTGATGTGAAACTGAAAAGTACTTTCTTTAAATAAAAAGGTAAACATTCTTGACAAAATGAAAGGAAAAATAATCAAATACTTTTAATGAGTCACTATGCTTAATCTTATTATACCTTAAAAATAAAATCAGGCCCATTAACCTGTTTCTTTCCTCTCTTATACCTAACTTCCAAGAAGACAAGTAGATAATATTCTGTATATTTAAGCGGAAGTATAAGATAACATTCTTCTATGATGAATCCTTAAATACTACTTTTTTTTGGGTGCTGATCCTGGAGCTTAAACTCAGGGCCTGGGCACTGTCCCTGAGTAATTTTGCTCAAGGCTAGAGCTTACCACTTGGTCCACAGCTCCCTGGGCTTTTTTGTTGGTTAATGCACACAAGAGTCTCAAGAGACTTTCCTGCACAGGCTGGCTTCAAGCTGCAATCCTCAGATCTCAGCCTCCTGAGTAGCTACAATTATAGGCACTGTGAGTCACAGATGCCAGGCTCAATCTTATCTATCTATCTATCTATCTATCTATCTATCTATCTATCTATCTATCTATCTATCTATCTATCTATCTATCTATCTATTTTTAACACATATGGAGCTCAGCTGTGGACTCTCCTGTCATTCTTTTCTTTAGATAACCTCCATTCTTAAGAATTTTTACAACTTTATCTAACTTACAACCCTTGTTCCTAGCTATGCCCAATTGATGTTAGCTGTTGTTTACATAACTTTGCAGAAACAATCTTTTATTTTTTAAGCATTTCTCCTCAAATCTCTTCCTTTACAAAACAACAATAAAGCACAAAAGATATTCTACACTATTTAGTAACTTCCTTATATGTTCTCTAAATGATACATCTTGAATGTTATTATATTAAGTTTATATAGAGTTCTTGTGCACAGTTTAGTGGCTTTTATAGTATTCTACTCTATGTGTCAAAATTCTGTAACTGCTACTGGTAGGCATTACATTTTGAAAAATTTGTCACTGTAAAAAATGTAAAAAAAATGTATCTTTCAGAGTGACTGATATTGTGCACATATGAACTTATGTCCATAAAACTCTTATCTCCAATTCACCACCAAAAAGCTGGAAGTATAGTAACGGCTCAAGTGGTAGAGCTCTATCCTTGAGCAAAAAAAGCTCAGGGAAAGTGCCAGGCCAAGTTTAAGCCCTAGGACCAGAACTCACACACACTGAGTTTAGGGAGACAAAGAAGAGAGGAAAGGAGAAGCTACAAGCAGTTCACAGGACCCAGAAAAATCACAAAGAGAATGAATGTACAAGAAAAGTGGCAAAGAATTTGTAGCCCATTATCAGTATCTCCCAGCTGGTACAGGGAAACAGAAAGTCCCACTGAGAGATTATCAAATTTAGCTTTTGGGAAAACTTTCAAACAGCAAATCTTATTGCCAGCTCAAGGAGTTGGAAGGTGAGGACTAATCTGCTAAGAGAGACTGGATTATGGTAATTTAGATGTTCTGTGTCTTCTGTATCCAAGAATGACAGAAAATTGCTCCTTGAGAAGGATGTTTTGAAAGCCAAGAGTCAAGACACAATCTACAGGACATTTTGCCATAGAAAGTAGGGAATAAGAGGCATGGGAAGAGAGGGCAGAGTGGCTGGCAAGGAACAGAAAAAAATTATACTGTCGGAAGACAGGTTGCCATCGGGAAGCTAGATGGTACAGGAACTCAACAGGTGGAAGACTGAGGAGTAAAGTTCCCAACAAGCCAGCAAACAAGAGCACATGGAAAATGTTGCTGTATCTCATAAACTTGGTGTATCTGTGGGATGTGTTGCCAAGCTAAGGCAGCTCAAATGTGTCTGGCAGAGCCCACCATTAGACAGAGGCATTTGCACCACAACTGACAACTAAGTTGCCTTGGGATTGCCTGATAAGCCAAATAGAGGCACTAGCCATTAGCCAACAGCTTGAACCGTGAAGGCCCTTTCTCCATATAAAGTCTTCTGGGAAAGCAAAGCCCTCACATTTACTACTAAAACAGCCATTTGAAACCTGCAGAAGTTATCTCTATCTATATAAACTGTAGACATATATGAACAATTGAAAATTCCTATTTGTTGTACATAGTTTGTCTTTGTTCCTATATTGGTTCAAATGTTTTAAGTGTTGGTTTTAACTGTATGGTTTTTTTTCTCTTCTGTAAATTACTTAAAAATATTTACCTGTTAACTTCTGTATTCTAGCATAGACTTGTTACTCTCTCACATTTAATCATATTTTGCCTCCTCCCTTACTTTTATGTGAAACCATCATAACCAAATCACATTACTTTTTTTTTTTTGCTGGTCTTGGGGCTTGAACACAGGGCCTGGGCTCTGTCCCTGAGCCTGTCTGTGCACAAGGCTAGCACTCTACCACTTGAGCCACAGCACCAGTTCCAGCTTTTTCTGAATAGTTTTACTGGAGATAAGAATTACATGAACTTTCCTGCCCAGTTTGGCTTTTAACTGGTATCCTTAGCTTTCCGCTTCCTAAGTAGCTAGGATTATAGGCATGAGCCACTGGCACCTGGCCATATTACTTACCTTTAATATTCTTTTTGAATCATCATTCTGGCCCCTTCCCACAGCCCTTCCTTTTATATCTTTTTTTGTATCTACAAGGAGAACTCTTAATTCATAAAACTATCTCCTACCACAGCTCCTGTATCTCCATAAAGCTTAGTTCCCACCATTTCTCACCCTATATACCCAAATACCTAGTGTTATTCCAGTAGTATACTTTAGGTTCTATGTTCATATGAAAAGATCAGAGCAGAATCAGTAACCTGTCATTAGAAATTAACACAAACACAAGATTGTGATTTACCACCTGCAAAAGCCTTTGAAGCCAAGCATCCTCACACCAAGTGGAGTACCAGTGGTGTCTTGAGCACTGGAACTGACTATTTGAAAACAGAGACCTACCTTCCCAATCTATACATCAACCCAGTCATCACTCCATCTTAAAAAAGTAACAAGAAGCCACAAAGAGAAAGTATATGGAGGATTGAAACCACTGCAAATCCTAGACCTAGATTCATAAGCCCCAATGAAAGACCATAAAATTCATGAATAAACAAAGATCCTGTAAAAACCAGTAACACCACAACGACAAACTTACAAAGGAGTGAAGAGGAAGAAAAACTTAATCAAAAGGTAGGTAACAGAAGTTTGAAAATAGGGTATCAGAGACCAAGAATAAAGCAGAGAAATTAGATCAAACAAAGACATTAAAAAAACCCCATACACTCAGAACATATTAAAAGGGACTTACAAGATCTTTTGGATGCTACCAGATCATATCCATGAATTAAAGACAAGGCAGAATAAAAACTAAAGTCACCAAAATTTATTCAACCAAATAATGGCATAAAACTTCCCTAACCTCCAGAGTTTCATCAGTTTCGTAGAGGCTTATAGAACTCCAAAATCAAAGAAACACTCTTAAACACATTATAGTAAAAACACTGAATATGCAGATTAAAGAATATTGAAAGCTACAAAGGAGGAGACAAATAACTTACAATGGAAATCCCATTAGAATAACAGAGGATTGTTCAAAACTCTGGTATTGTGAAACCTTCAACAGTGCTCTTTTTACTTTGAATTGCCTTTTCTGCTTGGAGTCTTTTATGCCTCCATACAAACTTTAGATTAATTTCTGTAATTCTGTGAGGAATGATACTGGGATTTTGATGGAAATGCATTACATCTGTACATTGCTTTTGGCAGCATGCCCACGGAACAGAATTTATTCATAGAAAGAACCAAGATAAAAACACAATTCTACAGCCAACTAGTTTTTGACAAAAGAGTAAAAAATATACAATGGAAAAAAGATAGCTTCTTCAATAAATGGTGCTGGAAAAACTATTCACCTATAGGATACTGAAATTGACCTCTAACATTTCTTTGACTCCACCATACAGAAAGTCAGCAGGTATTTATGCTAATTGCAGCACTGTTCAAATAGCCAAATGATAGAATCAGCTGAGAAGCCTATAGCTGGTGAATGGATGAAGAAAATGTGGTGAACATAACACTATGGTCACAAAGAAAATGAAAATCATAACATTTACATAAAAATGGATACAATGGAGGACATGTTATTGGACACGCAATTGAAGAAGCAAGACTTAAGCATAGGAAATGAAAAAAAAACAAATATTGTACATGTTCACTAATATGTGGAAGCTAGACCTATACTTATATACACATAAACATACATGTATATATACTCAAAAATGTACATGCATATTTATTCATAATTATTTATATGGATATACACGCAACATAAATTTAAGGGACTACTTACGAGAAGAAGGAAGAAAGGAAAAAGTGTGAATAACTTTGTAATACATTGCAAGTATCTACGAAAACAGCATTAAGAACCTCAAGGAAAGCTGTTGATTAACTGGAGTATGGGCTATGGGATAAGAGAAATAGGCTGTTGAGGGGTTGCAGTAAATTGGACTAAAAGCAGTACAAAAGAGGTTTGAATTGCATAGAAATACTAAGCTTGTAACTATGAAATTAGGACAATGTAACCTGATGAATTATTTTGGGATGCAAGAAGGGAGAGTGACAGAGGGGATGAGAGTGAGTAGAATACATGATAAAACAAATTTGAAAATTTAACAATGAAATCTCTCCCTGTGCAACTAATGCAAATCCATTTTTTTTGGGGGTGCTGGTCCTGGGGCTTGAACTCAGAGCTTGGGTGCTGTCTCTGAGCTTTTGTACTCAGGGCTCAAGCCATACTCTACTTCTGGGTTTTGATGGTTGACTGGAGCTAAGAATCTCATGGTCTTTCCTGCATAGGCTGGCTTCAAACCTTAATTCTCAGATCTCAGCCTCCTGAGTAGCTAGGATTACAGGCAAAAGCTACCAGTAAGAACCTGGCAGTAAGCTAGTTTTTCAAAAAATTAAAGGACGTTATATATTTGAAAAATAGATATTTTCAAACATTCTTATAAAAGTACTAATTTATATTTATAATGTCATTATTATGAAATTAAGTCCTACCAATATATTGATGTCACCTAAAATAATCACAAGTCTCTTAAATTCTGACCTTGAAGATCCATGTGTTTACTTGATGTATTTACTAGAATATCTTACGAAGTTTAAAGTAATTATTCCTTCTTTATAGGTCCTCCCACTAATCTATCACTAAGTTAATTCTACGTTCTATTTTATTCTCAAATAACAACATTTCTCTTTTTCCTCAGGGACCTACTTTCAGGAACAATAATCTAGATCATTAGCTTCTAATCCTCCCACTTTCCCTGTCTCTCTCTTAAATTACACAAAATAGTCAAAAAAAAGTGCACTCACTAAAACATACCAATTTCCCCACTTCCACCCCACTAAATGCTACCTTCAATGTTTTCTCATTGTCATCAGAAATAACTTTCAGGTTCTGATAGGGTTGTCATGATTTGGTCCTTTGTCCTTTCACTTCCTTCTAATCCTTCCTCAGCTAGTTTTGTCTGAGCTATCCCAATCTTTTCTCTCACCTGTTAAAGGCTAACTTAGGTCCACTTGTCACAAGGCTCTTTTTTTTTTTTTTTAACAGTTTGTATTTTTCTTTCAGCATATTCCTCTCATATTTACAACTAAGTGGTTCTTAGATTGTATGTGTACCACATGCTATCATGGCTATCATATCACATCTCATGGTATGAGAGACTGTGACTATTTTTGTTTATGCTTGTGACACCAGAATCTGGCAATAATAGAATCTTCAAAATCATTTAACAAATCAACACAGGAAATATATATATATATATTTTTGGGTCCGGTCATGGGGCCTGAACTCTGGGCCTGGGCACTGTCCCTCAGCTCTTCAGCTCAAGGCTAG